ACATTCTGGTTCCACTGTTAGAGATCCCATAGATTTCACAGGCCTCCAAACTGGCACCCACATTCAGAGAGCTTGGATCTGTCCAATGCTGGTAGGCCAGCTTTACGACTGGGGTGCCTGTGGTCTCACTAGGTCAGGTCAGATGTTTCTATAGGTTTCACCAGCACAATCTTGACTCCTTTGCTCATCCCTCCTCCCTCTTTGGAACTAGATTCCAGGAGTATGGCTCAGTGCTTATTTGTGGGTGCCTACTTCTGCTTCAATCAACTACTGGACGAAGGCTCTAGGATGGCAATTAAGGTAGTCATTACTCTCATTATAGGCAAAGAGCATCAAAGGCAACCTCTCCACTACTGCCTAGATTCTTAGTTGGGGTCATTTTTGTGGATCTCTGAAAATTTCCCTAGTGTCGGATTTCGCTTTAAACCTATATTGGGCCCCTCTATTAAGGTATCTCTTTTCTTGCTCTTTCCTATTCCTCCCCTGACTCAGTCTTCCTAACCCCTCTTGTTATTCTCCCTTCTCTTCTCCACTTCTTTTTTTTCCTACATCCCTCCCCTCTTCCCTCATGGTCCCCATTTTCTAAGGAGTTCTTGTTCCTTTCCCCTTCTCCAGGGGACCATTTATGTCTCTCTTACTGTCCTCCTTGCTTCCTAGCCTCTCTAGTGGTGTGGTTTGTGGGCTAGTAGTCCTTTGCTTTATGTCTAATATCCATATATGAGTGAGTACATACCATGCATATGTTTCTGTGACTGAGTTACCTCACTCAGGATGGTTTCTCCCAGTTCCAGTAACTTGCCTGTAAATTTCAAGATTCCATTTTGTTTCTTCTGCTGAGTAATACGTCATTGTTTAAATGTACACATTTTCTCTATCCATTATTCAGCTGAGGGGCATCTAGGCTGCTTCCAGGTTCTGGATGTTACAAATAATGCTGCTATAAATGTAGTTGAACAGATGTCATTTTGTACATCCCTTGGGTATATGCCCAAGAGTGGAATTGCTGATTCTTGAGGTAGGCTGATTCCCATTTTCCTGACAAACTTCCATATATATTTCCAAAGTGGCTGTACAAGTTTGTACTCCAATCATCAATGGAGGAGTGTTCCCTTTTCTCCACATTCTCTCCAGCATAGACTGTCATTGGTGTTTTTGATTTTAGCCATTCTGGTAGGTGTAAGATAGTATCTCAGAGTTATTTTAATCTTCATTTCCCTGATGGCTAAGGATGTTGAGCACTTTCTTAAGTGTCTTTCAGCCATTTTAGGTTCCTCTATTGAGGATTCTCTATTTAGTCCTATACCTCAATTTTAATTGGATTGTTTGGTGATTTGGTGACTACATTCTTGAATTCTTTGTACATTTTGGAAATCATCCCTCTGTCAGATGTAGGCTTGGTAAAGATCTTTTCTCATTCTATGGGCTCTGTTTTGTTTTGTTGACTATGTCCTTTGCCTTACAGAAGTTTCTCAGTTTCAGCAGGCCTCGTTTATTAATTGTCGATCTTAGTGACTGTGCTAGTGGAGTTATATTCATGAACTGATCTCCTATATGAATCAATTTAAGGGTACCTCCCACTTTCTTTTCTAAGAGGTTCAATGTGGATAGATTTATTGAGTTCTTTGATCCATTTGGACTTTTTCTGTGCATGGTGATAAATAAGGATCTATCTGCAGTCTTTTACATGTCAGCATTCAGTTATGCCAGCAGTGCTTGTTGAAAATGCTTTCTCTTTTCCATTGCATAATTCTAGCTTCTTTGTCAAAAATCAGGTGTTTGTAAGTATGTGAGTTAATATCAGGCTTTTCGATTCAATTCCATTGGTCTGTTTTTGTGCCAATACCAAGCTGTTTTCAGAACTATAACTCTATAATGGAGCTTGGAATCAGGGATATTGATGCCACCAGATGTTCCTTTAATGTACAGGGTTGTTTTGGCTATCCTTGGAGTTTTTCTTTTTCCATATAAAGTTGAAGTCTGTGAAGAATTGTGCTGGGATTTTGTTGGGGATTGAGTTGAATCTGTAGATTGCTTTTGGAAAGATTGCCATTTTACCATGTTTATCCTACCTATCCAAGAGCATGGGATCTTTGCATTTTCTGGTATCTTCTTTAATGTCTTTTTTAACTACTCAAAATTCTTGTCAGAAAGGTCTTTCCCTTATTTGGTTAGAACTACTCCAAGATGTCTTATGTTGTTTATGGCTATTGTAAAGGGTGATGTTTCTTTGATTGGTTTCTCAGCCCCTTCATTATCTGTATATAGTAGGGCTACTGAATTTTGAGTTAATATTGTATCCTGCCACTTTGCTGAATGTGTTTATCAACTGTAGAAGTTCCCTGGTAGAATTTTGTGGGTTATTTATGTAAACTAACATATCATCTGCAAATACTGAAAGTTTGACTTCTTCCTTCCCAATTTCTATTCCCTTCATCTCCTTTTGTTGTCTTATTGCTCTATGAACTTCAAGTACAATATTGAAGAGATATGGAGATAGTGGATAGCCTTGTCTTGTTCCTGATTTTAGAGGAATCACATTGAGTTTCTCTCCATTTAGTTTGATGTTGGCTGTTGGTTTGCTGTATATTGCCTTTATTATGTTTAGGTATATTCCTGTTATCCATGATCTCACCAAGACCCTTATCAAGAAAGTGTGTTGGATTTTATCAAAGGCCTTTTCAGCACCTATTGAGATCATGGGATTTTATTTTTCAGTTTGTTTATATGGTAGATTACATTGATTGTTTTACATATATTGAAACATCCCTGCATCCTTGGGATGAAGCCTACTTGATCATGGTGTATGATTTTTTTTGATGGTTTCTTTGATTTCATTTGCCAGTATTTTATTGAGTATTTTTGCATCTATGTTCATTAGGAAGAATTCCATGAACTATGGTCATATATAACCCCATTTTCTCATCCAACTTAATCAACATGCAACATGCTAGCACCTCCACATCTCAACTTCCTTCATTTTGTGTGTGTGTGTGTGTGTGTGTGTGTGTGTGTGTGTACATGTGTATATGTCATACACACAGAACTGAAATGCAATGAATGAGTGTGTGTATTTGGCATTTCTCTAAGGCCAGTTCAAACTACCAGTAAGTGATGGGTATGGATTCACTCAGTGAAGAACAGAAAACTTACTGGGAGCTACATCTTCAGCAAAGAATGAATCTCCATAGTCCAGCAACTATGTCCTGCTAATAGCTCCTCAGTAAGGATGGAACTTCAAAATAGTTTACCTCCCTTATTGCTTGGAATTTTTTTCAGGCTTTGTCATTTCTAAGCCTTGTGTATGCAAACACAGATGTTGTGAGATCATACTTGAAATGGCAGCATCATGCCCAGAAGACAGCATTCCCAGGGCTCTTCTCCATCCTCAGTAGGTAGCATTCTTTGTGCCTTTCCATTCACTATGTTTTCAGAGTCTTTGTCTGGTGTGGGTCATACACATGTCCTATTTAAGGTTTAGATTTGAGGTACTTTGATAATCATGGAGTTCTCCATTGACTGCTGTCTACCAAAAAGAAAATCTTGATGACTAAGGTAGAGAGAGGCCCAAGTCTATGGTTATAATCATAAATACATAAGGGCAATGTGACAGCATAACCATTCAGAAAAATAACATGTTCTACTCTAAGACCTCCAATCATCCAAGCCACAGGGTTTTGACCAGGTTTAACAATACCAAGTTTGATATCCACTCCTGTGGATAGGGCCTCAAATCTAACCAGAATGGTGTTAGTTACCCATAAACTTCAGCTACTACCATACCAGGAATCTCATACTTCTTGGGAGATTGGTGTTAGAAATACGTAATTATGTTCACTCTTTAAAAGAAACCTGGTGGGCTGGAGAGATGGCTCAGAGGATAAGAGCACTGCTTGGTCTTCCAGAGAACCTGGGTTCAGTTTCCAGCACCGACATGCCAGCTCAAAACTGTTTTTAACTCCTTCACAGACATGCATTCAGGCAAAACACCAATGTACATAAGAATTTAAAAAGTAATTAAGAAGTTGTCTGGTATATTGGTCCTTCAACTCTGTGTTGATAGGAAGACTGACTAAGTGATATAATGAAATTATTGAAAACAAAAATATGTCAGCTGTTTAAATTTTTTCATGAACTGTGCTTGATACCAAAACAGAATTTAATAAGTCAACATTTTAGTCATTTACTATCCAAGATAAGTGGGTTTTCTGTGGGTTTCCTGCTGGCAACTATAGACCTGATAGTCTAACAAAGACATCAGGTTTTAAATTAGACTACTAGACTGGAACTAAGAAAGTGGGGCTTTCTTTAATGATGTAGCCAAATAAAAAACAGGTTTTACAAGGCAAACTGTACAGACTGGAATCAACTGATCTGTCAACAGGAAGGGAAAATTGTGTAATTATACCATAATCTCAAAATAAAAGAAGTAATATAAATAAAGAAGAAATAATCTCCTAAGCAGGGAAATTGAACAGTCATTTAAAAAAAAAGCATAAACAAACAAAACAAAACAGCATAAACAAACCAACCAACAAACAAACAAAACAAAACCCTGCTGACATGTCTTAGCAGTGGAACAGTAAGGCACAGAATAAAGAGAAAAGCCTTTAAGAAACATGCATTTGCTTTAAAGGAACTGTTAGTCTTCTCACTTTACTGGGTTTCCTGTATGTTGCAATACCTTCTACTTACCAAAAAGAGAGTCTAAAGGCAATGCTTTTGATATGATACATTACATTACAAACTGGAATAGAAACAGGATCTGACGGCTTGTTTGGAAGTAACTGAGACAGAGCAGTTCTGTCTTGAAAATTCTTTCTTTGTGTGTGAATTACAACAAGGAAAATAGATTTTGGAGTTTTAATCAGGAACAGATTGTGAGGTGGAATTTGTACTTAGTAAGTTAGGTAACACTTTGCCGCAGGTTAAAATTCAACCTCCAAAGATTTGAAAAGAGTTTCATTTGCTGCACTGCCAAAGTAGAACAAGCAGAGAGAAACATGGGGAGAAAAATTTTGCTTCTCATTGCTGTGGTCCTAGTAGCTTATTATGTTTATATCCCTCTTCCAGGGGATATTGAGGAACCTTGGAAAGTGATGCTGGAAACAACACAACTAAAAATAATGATGGATTTGGTAAGTTCTGAAAGAGTATTAAGCTCTGAATTTTATCTGCCTATGAATACTGAATAATTTAATAGAGAGAAAATAGGGGTTGAGAAATTTCTTAGCATGCTCTGTCTCCAAGTCTAATCCCAGTACAGACAGACACAGGGAAGAGGCTGAGGAGAAAGAAGAGGGAGCAAGGATGGAGAATGTGTTTTATAGTACTGCCAGGTGAAATATCAACTTCAGGAAAGGAAGAATAGAATAGTATTTTGTACAATTAGAAATGTCTATTCAGTACTCTTGGGTTCAGGCATGGAAATATGTGCTTGCTGGCACATTTTGTGAGACTGACTGCTTGAAATAAAAATACAAAGGCAACACATATGACTCACAGTTGGAGCAAAGTGTATTACTGTAGGAGAATGAGGGCACCTGGCTTCCTGCATATAGTTGTTCACAACTAGATTTTTCTTAACGAGTATTAGTACGTAGAAATGAAATCATGTACATGCCCTTTAGCCCTCTTTGTAGTTAATGTTTTTGTGGAACAACAGATATGTAAGTCAATGACACTTAGCCTCAGTATCAAACGTGTGATACACGTTTGTCTTTGTTAGGATTCTATTGCTATGAAAAGACACCATGACAACTCCTATAAAGGAAAGAATTTATCTGGAGCTGGCTTACTGTTCAGAACTTTGGTCCGTTGTCATTGTGGCAAGAAGTGTGGCTGCACAGAAGCTGACATAGTACTGGAGAAGGAGCCTAGAGCTCTATATCTCCATGGGTAAGCAGCAGGTAGAGAGAGTCACACTGGGCCTGACTTGAGCATTTGAAATCTCAAAGCCCACCCCCAGTGGCACACTTCCTTAAACAAGGTCATAACCACTCTCATAAGGCCACTATATAGTCTTTCATTTTACATAACTGAGAAAAAATGTACATGTGCCTTATTATCATTTTCTTATTTATTTGACCTTACTTTAGTTACCTTAGTAGGATATATATATATATATATATATATATATATATATATATATATATATTAAATATGGGTTAGTATAATGGATCATAGTTTGAAAACTGGTTTTTAATGCATTATTATTGAATTTTATATAACATTGTTTACATTGTTTATTGTTTGGCTATGTTACACCCAGCCTTCACATACACCTTCACTGCATGATATTGAAAATGATTTATCATTTATCATTCAGTCTTTCTGAACTATTTCTATAATCCTCTTTTCTTTTGATTTATTTTCTTTTTCTATAATATGTAATATTTTGAGTTTTAATTTGATTTTTGTTGGTGAAGATATTTTGGCATTTCTTCTTATTTCTTTTTTAATTCTCCTAGGATGGAGACTGGTAACAGTGTGTTTTATTCTTTCCTTCCTTCTGGTTAGCAATAATCTTACAACATCTCTCTGCCAAGACCTTGAATTCATATGATTCTGCCTTCTGAAAGTATATGATATTTTAATAATTCATTTCTGAAGTACTGTACAGTATAGTTATATCACAATTGTGATAACATTTTCTTTATGAATACCTGCACTGTTTATTTATGGTACATGTCATTTTGCTTGAATATTTTATTTACATTCCTTGTATTGTTACCACTGCAATGCAATGGTTTTCCAGGGACAGTTTTCAGTGAGGTCTTGGGGAATATAGTAAAACATTTTCATATTTAAGGAAATACTGCAATGTATATACATACAAATATATGCAATATTTAAAATGCAAAAAAAAATATACAGTCTCTTGGAACTCCTTGGCCAATAATGCAAAAAGAGGTGTTCCATGTCTGGGCATTTTGTTTGGTAGTCTATAGCTTCTGTGCAGTGTTAGTTTTGTGGAGTAATGACACACACACACACACACACACACATACACATACACACACTGAACATATATATGTATACATATCCATACACATTCCATATGGATCTTCTTGCTCAGTGTTCTACTGCTGTGAAGAGAGGCACCATAACCACAGAAACTCCTATCAAAGAATGCATTTAATTGGGCCTTGCTTACAATTTCAGAGGTTTAGTCATTATCATGGTGGGAAGTATGGTGTCATGTAGACAGACATGTTGCTGGAGAAGTACCTGAGAGTTCTGTATTTAGATCTTCAGGCAGAGTAAAAGAGAAAAAACTGGGACTGGCTTGGGTTTCTGAAACCCAAAATATACTTCTTTCAACAAGGCCACACATACTCCAACAAACAGCATCACTTCCTAGGCATTCAAACATATGAGCCTATGGGAACCATTCTTATTCAAATCACTACATCTTCCCTATGAAGTTTTTAAACATTAATGTTATTCATTTGTCTTTCCATTCTCCCACTTATTTACCCTTCACTATTCCTTGCCAATTAAGTGTTGCCCACTTTTCCTCTTTTACTAGTTCAGAGCACATGTGTTTTACTACTAACCTAATGTACCAATTGCTTTCTACTCCAGTCCCATAATTGTTCCTTCTATTTCTCTGACTTCTACAGTTACTACAAGTTACACACAAACCTAAAGATTCAGAGCTAAGGTCCACAAATAAAGGAGAAAATGTCATGTTTGTCTTTCTGGGTCTGGGTTATCTCACTCAGTGTAGTATTTTCCAGTTATATCCAATTACTTGAAAATTTCATTTATATTTAAAGATCAATGGAATGATATTCTGCATATGAGTCACATTTTTATTACTCAAATGATAGCTACAGAGACTGTTTTCATCCTCTAGTTATGTAAATATAGAAGAAAAATCATGAATAATAAAGTGTCTCTTTATTAGGAGGGACAGCTCAGCTATTAAAGGCTAGGCCTACAACCGTAAATATAAGAAAGTGTCACTGTAGTAGGATACCAAGATATTTATGGATATTCCCAGAAGCAATACAGTAGATTCTATGATAGATCTATTTGTAGCTTTTTGATGAATATCTATACTAATTTCCATAGTGGCTATATCAGTTTGTACTCTAATCAACACTAAATGAAGATTTCCCTGTCCTCCTTTTCTCACTAACATTAATGTCATTTTTTCCCTTAAAATTAACTGTTCTGACTGGAACAAATAAAATTTCAAAGTATTTTAATTTGAATTTCTATGGTAGCTATGTATGTTAAACATGTTTTAATACATTTCTTAACTGTTCATATTTGTTCTCTTGAAAATTGTCTGTTTAGATATAAAGTTCATTTTAGAAACTATAGTTTTATTACCTCATTGAAAATTTATTGTTTGTGTGTGTGGAGAGGATTTTGAGTTGGAGGAGGAACACAACATAATCAAAATTTAGTATATGAAAATATTTTAAATAAAAATTAGAATATTATCATTAAAAGTAAAGCATTCTGACTAACATGAAATTCTCTATGTGAAAAATAAATGTGTGCCAAGTTTTGATGACAAAATTGTAAAAAAACATAAGGTGTTTTAGATCAAAATGGCACAGACAGACATGTAAATCAATAGAAGAGAATATTCAAATAGGAATTCATATTAGTAAAGCTATTTAATATTTTAAAAAGATGCAAAAACACACACTGGAGAAAAGACAGGGTTGCCAACAAATTATTCTGGGACAACTGCCTATGAACATCTAAAAGAAAGCTTTATCTATCATAGTATATAAAACTCAACTCCAAATGGATCCAATACCTCAATGTGAAACATTAAATGCTGAAAAGGCTAGGATTAAATATTGTCAGTACCCTATGTGATGTAGGTGTAGGAAAGTACTTACTAAGTGGGACAATTTTACCCAGAAATGAAGGTCAACAATTGAAAAAACGGGACCTAAAAAACTTAAAAAGCTTGTGACCAGAAAAGAAAACTGTCAGCTGAAGGAAGAGGAAGCCCTTAGAGGAAGATAATATGTGCCAGCTATATATTTGATAGAAGGTTAATACCTAGAATATAAAAGAATGTACGAACAAAAATTCAAAGAAAAATTATAAAATTAAAATTTTTAAAAATTAGGGCCTGGAGACATGGCTCTGCAGTTATAGAGCACTGGCCACTTTTCCAGAAGACCTGGGTTCAGTTCCCAGAATCCATATGGCAGCTCACAACAATCTGTAACTCTAGTTACAGGGTACCTGGCACCCTCATACAAACATAAATGCATACAAAGCGCTAATGCACATAAATGAAAAAAATTTTAAAAATATAATTAATAAAATATACAAATTAACTATGGGGGTGCTCAACATCAACTGATAAATCTACAGCACAACCCTTACAGCTAAGGCTCAGACAGCATCACACACAAGGATGCAGACAGATTGTAAGTGCCAGAGGACCAGGATTTCTGAGGTGACTTAGGGAAACTGCACCTGGGAAATCTCAAAAACTGGTGGCCTGAGTGAGACAAGCACTGGCAGTTCCAGTTCACATTCCAATGTAGATGGCAATAATTACACAAGACACTGCCCATAGCTGAAAAGTTACAGGGAATTAAAGCCAAGAGAAGGGGAGAATCAATTTTCCATACGTTATCCAATCACAAACAGTGAGCATTAAAATATTCCTAGAAACATCATTAAAGTGACTCAGCAGGATGTACTAACACACACACACACACACACACACACACACACACACACACACACACACACACCAATTTTAATCATTTTTCTCTTCTTCACTTAGGTTTCTTTTGCTGAAGATTTGGGGATTAATCATTACATGGACATGATGCAATTACTTATGAGATTTCAAGAAGTCCAAGCCACTTCTGATGAAAATGTCACTGTGATAGACACAGCTTTCAACAGTGTTCCTGTTCGTATATATGTGCCCAAAAGGAAGTCAGAATCACTCAGGAGGGGCCTGTTTTTTATTCATGGTGGTGGTTGGTGTTTTGGGAGTGCTGGTATGTACGTTCCCATCACTGAGCATTCTTATTTGTCTCATAAAACGTAATATTTCTCCACCTTAAAAACTCATATGTGTTATTAATACTAATACATTAAGTTAGTAATATATAAGAATTAATAATGCTTCAATTGTTTGAAATGTGTTCCTTCCTGAAAGGGGGATTGATTACTACTAAAAACCATAGAAAATGTCAGGGAAGAACATAGGGTTTTATTATTATAGAATTGATGGAATACTGTAGTGAGAGCAAAAGTGGGGTTAGCTGAACACTGGATGAGATAGCATCAAATACAGATGGTGACTGTGCTCTTTTATAATGAAGGAAATGAGAACAAAGATGTCAGAAATGAAAAGCACTGAGCTGAACATGCTATTTTTACTTGATATTATATATTTTACTTGTTACACATATAATGTCATATTTTGTAAATGTAATTGCATTTATTGTAATTTTATTTTATTGAATGTAAATATATAAAATATACATAATACAGCCAATATATATGGTGATACCTTGCTTATACAACTAAAGCTTGTCTGAAGATCAGAGGGTGGAGCGTGCCAGTAGCTAACCACAGTGATTTGGAGGTCTGTACAGGCAGACAGGAAGTGCGATGGCTGGGCAGAGAAAGGATACAGCCATCGCACTTCCTGTCTCTACCCAGCCATCTCATTTCCTCTCTGTCTATACAGACCTCCAGACCATTATTGTTGGCTACTGACAAGCTCCACTCTCTGAACTTCAGACATGATTTATTTGCATGAGCAAGGCATTGCCACATATTATCTTATATATTTTATGATATTTGTATGTCATAATAACACAAGGAGCCCATGACAACTTTATAAGCTGATTTTAAGATAGTAGGATATTTGTTTAGAAATTTGAGCTATGAGGCTTGAGGGAGGGATTAAGTTCATTTGGCCTTGAGACAATGGGAGCTAATTGTGGTTCCCCTTCCTCAAGGAATCATCAGTCACTGGACCACCAGGGTGGAGGCAGCAGAAGTGGGGAATAGAGTTCAAACAACTGTGGATATGATGGTGATAGCCTTCCAGGATATGACTTCAGTGAGACAATTCAACTTTATGCCAAAGCATATAGAGTATATAGGTTTGGAGATTGTAGTTGGGGCATCACACAATTTGCATTAAACAGCATGCACTTATAATAAAGATGGATTAGTGGTAGTATAGACCTATAAAAACAGCTAGAGCATGTTACTTGTTTACCATAGGGTCAGCAGCAGAAGAGCATTTGCAGAGAACTATGTTAAGGGTCATCCTTGAGATAGTAAAGTCAGGCATCTGAACCTAGAGACACCCTCAAAATAAGGCATTTGGAAGCCTCTCTGGAGAGGGAGTCCATCATTTTCCTGATCTTAGAGAAAGCTGCTCAAGCCATGATAGATTACAACCTCTGATCAGCAGGCCCTCCCAACGTCTCTCCTTGTTTTATTTTATAATGGAGAAGTACCATAGTAAGCCTTGAAGAACCTGCCTATTGTGTCAGAAGGACCGAGGGCCTGGTAGTGAAACATGCCCTATTTTTAATGGTAATTTTAGCAATGGTAGTGATCTGCCATTGAAAGAACTGAATAAGGCATGGGGCAAGCATCAAAATAAAACATAGCATAATTAGAGAGTTGATAAAGGGCATGGTCCAGAAAAACAAAGCTAAGTTGCTTTATGGGTTGGGATTTTGAGAGCAGGTCTTTTCTGAGAGTTGTAGGGGTAGGTATTAACATTAGTTTGAACCTTATTTGATGCATTTCCATAGCAACAGCATTCTTCTCCCAATATCAAGTCCTCCATTGTTCAACCGTTATTAGACCCAGTGCTCTTCTGTTTTGGAACATGACCCCGGCAAGAGAGTTCATTTCTCCCTGGAGGGACTCACAACTGTCAGTCATGGATTCCACTGCGTGATAGAGTCTGTCTCTGAAGTCTCCAGGCAGGTGAATATGTCTGGACAAGGGCAGTTGTTGCAGCCCTCACAGATCCAAAGGAGATGACAAGTCCTATTCCTATCAGTAAAGAAAGGACTTTCTCTCATCTTTGGTTGAAGCAGTAACTCTTCTTCCTCCTCATATAGGTAGACATGTGGGATAATCACAACTGCAGTGCAAAACCCTGGCAAGGGGGTGTCTATGCAGGAGGTATCTTTCCCTTACTCCAAAGAAGAAGGGGAGGGGTGGCACATATCATCCTGGAAAGAGTGATGATAGTGAAACATTGGTAATGAGTAAACTTGTCCCGAGCGGAAATGTAAACTGTATAGTTGGGCAGGTGGCCAAATAAGAGAGTATCTAACAGGCAAGCACCAGTGAAATTTGTTTGTGTTCCCAGGGTAAAGGAGAGTGTTATTGACCAGTACCTCTGTCAGCAGAGGTCTATTGCTGGATACACAAAAGACACAGAGGCGTTAGGATGGGTAGCAACATATTGAACATACAGTGGCCAGAGTGGACTGAGAGTTTCTTCTTAGTTCTGTCTCCTGTTTAAGAATATGTTTATGGGTTAGTGATGACTGGCTGTTGAGAAATATATCAGGAGAGGGATATGCAGAATAATCTGTGGGATATAATTTTCCAGGGCTCCTGTTTTTCATCTTCCATTCCAGAGGTCATCTATGATAATGGTGAGCAGATTAATTAGGTTTTGAAGCACAAATGGTTAGGGCAGTCCATGGATCCAATCTGCTGGGGTTTTTCCTCAGGGAAAAAAGTCAGTGGTGAGTGTTGTGTCAAGAATTAAGGAGCTGAGCATTGGCTGAGGACAGGTCTCTGGTATTATAGCAGAGACCAGGGACACATTAAAAGAGCAGAGAGGGAGACTTGGGAGAGGTACATGTCTTGGGCAGTGGCTAGGCTATCAGGTCATAGGTGTCCTTTCAGGAGATTTTGTTATTCTAACAGGGGTATTTTTTCTATTTCATTTCTCCCTGAGTGGTCAGTAAAGGGAGCCATCTTTCTGGTCAGCAGGGTGATGTCAGTTATTTCTGTCTGGGACACAAATAGAAAAAAAAATATAATCAAGAAAAATATCTCTTCCTGTTGTGAGAAAGGGGTTGGGTACCTTTCATTTTCCACAAATGGGGTAACTCCATCGTACCAAGATGGGAGGATATTGGAGTTTTTGTAGATACTGAATATATTTAGGATAGCCATGCAATGTTTGAATTGCCGATTATATGTTAGAGATGTAGATGATTTGGGGATTTTGTTGTTGTTTTTTACGTTGAGCCTTTAGAATTTGATGAGTTTTTCACTATAATCCCATTGCCTTGGGGATTGTAAGACTGCCTGTGTGGTGGGCAATCTCCCATTGTGAGCAGAAGGCCTTGAATTGGGAGCTGGTAAAGGTCCCTGTAATAGGTAGGGACTAGGGGTCACAGAGAGAACCTGGCAGCCAAGTTCAGCTCTGATATGTTAAATAGGCAGTGCACTTCTTTGACTCATATATACATGTTAGGGACAAAAAGAAAAGTTAAAACTTAGCCTACATTTTTAAATACTGACCAAGAAAGGATTTGGCAAAAAACCACCATCTGCTGTGTGGCTTTATGTGACCTATCTTATTGGGGTATATATGGACAAAACCATATGCCAACAAACCTTTGCTTTTCTGTTACTTTTTTGAGAACTACAAATTTCAGAATTCCGGGAAGTTACCTATCCTTGGGCAGGTATTAGATTTTTAAAAACTATAATTTCCAGAATATCATAGTTACTTGGTCTCTGGGCTGGTGCTATCTTTTAAAAACTATAACTCCTAGAATTCCAGGAAGTTACCCTGTCTTTGAGCAGGTGGAGCTTACAGATTACTTCAGGTCTATCATTACTTCCTAAATCTGTATGTTAGGTCAGATCTTTGACTCCATGATGAAAATTGGTTTACATTAAGTTATAATAACCACCAAGTTAATGGTACCAAGTCAAGAACTATTATTTAGTGTTCATATTAATATTGTAAAAAGCCAATAGTATTTAACAAAAACAGATACCCAAAGGCCTTGTGATGAACAATATCTCTTCTGCATAAAGCAGGCCAGGTTTTCTATTTTATTATAGAACCATTTTAATTAATGAATTACCAATTGATAGACCTTTTCGTACATCAATTGACATTATAGGTAGTCATCTTGCCCCCTGTGTCAGGGAATTTTCTTTTGACTTAGACTCATTTAGCAACTTTGTGGGGGGCAAGGACAATGTATTCTCTTCTGTAGCCACTTCCAAGTGAACTGAAGCAGAGGTTGTCAGGACCCAGGAAGGCTGAAAGGCTTGTCAAAGACTGGGCAATGGGGCCTTTGGCAGAAGCATCTGATTAGCTGATCCAGGAGAAGGGACAGGGAGCATTCACATCAGCTTTCAGCAACTCCAGAGCTCATCAGCTTAAAGTCTAGGTATAGTCATATGTAGTTTCACCACCTTAAAATCTGATAAATGCAAGGCAAGACATGGATCTTGAGTAGAATAACAGTATGAAGCTAAGAGAGAAAGCCCCTGACTGTGTTTATGTGGAAATTGCTCAGGATTCATTTTCTACATTGATGATGAAGTGCTGCAAATGGTAGAAGCAATTGTGGACAGTCTCTATAAGGAGCAATGTGCACTGTTGTGCCCTTGCCATCATGCTTTTCCAGGAGCTCACTTGCCAGTCTCTCACTCAGTTTTCTCCATTTCAGCTCTTCCTGCCTATGACCTTCTGTCAAGACAGACAGCTGAGAGACTCGATGCTGTGGTCGTATCAACTGAGTAAGACTATGGTTTGTTTCTTCAGTGTTTTTGTCTTTTGGGTTATTACTGGAATATTTCAACTGAAATTAAGAGCATGAGCAAAGAGAAAGCGAACTTGAATTGGCAAGAATAGAATTAGAGATTTAAAAAAAAAAGCAAAGCAAAGCAAAACACATACATTATTAGAATACAATAACACTGGTGTGCCACATGTCCCAGTGACCTGCACAGGAATTAGAGCTTAGCTTCTAACAGTAAAGTGAGTACTTAGAGAATCACAGGCAAATAAGGTTGGAAATTTTGCCTTGAGACTTTGTATATGTCATATTTTATTAATTCAGTCTACTTTATCCATATGTGAACTGAGAATCATATCTTTTCCACAATGGTGGAATTACACGGTGAACTGCCTTAAAGGGTTAGTTAGCCATATGTCGTGGCATAATCATCACTGAAAGCAACTAGTCCTAAAGGTACACGTGGAAACAGGCAAAGCACATTAAGGTAATATTTGATAAGTGAATGATTCCATAAGAATTGAAAGAAAAATAGAGTAATTTATAAAACACAATGGTCACATACTGCTTTAATATTAGGTGAAGTTCAAATATAAAGTTAATAAGATGTGTCATTGATTAATTTCCAATAAAGTATAATAATAGTACAAATAAAATGCTGGGAAATGTATTACCTGCTATATTTTTTATTCTTTTTTTTCACCTCAAGACAAATTCAATTGTTTTACTCTAATTTTTACTAGTATAATAAAATCAGACAAGGTTTTGGGATGGAATATATCTGTAGGTGTATAGCTAGCAATAATACTAGAAGGAAAATCGTACTGTCAGTTTTAAAAGATACCATATAAAATTAAACTTTATTCATTTGAAACATTCTTCACACAGCTATGGCTTAGCCCCCAAATATCATTTCCCACATCAGTTTGAAGATGTTTATAGAGCCTTACGATGGTTTCTACAGGAAGACATTCTTGAAATATATGGTGTAGATCCTCGAAGAGTTGGTGTATCTGGGGACAGTGCTGGTGGGAACTTAGCTGCAGCTGTGACCCAACAGGTTTGTTGGATATCTTAAAACATCCTATGTGTAAATGTATTTGCCTCAGACATTTGAGAGATCAGTGAGAACATGCTATTTTATCACCATGTTGAAATATTAGAAAAACACCTTCACTGATGTTGGGGAACATTGTCTATGTAGCATGTCTAAGCTTGTTCTAAGTCATTTTCTTTTTTTATACTAGGACATTATACATTTTCTAGACTGTTGCTTGAATGTGATTATTATAGTCAATTAGGTAATATCCCGTGTTGTTATATTTGGGATTGTACTAGTAAAACTGATCAATGACACTAATCACCATAACTGAAAACATGACAACTGTAGGTGAATACCAAAACTGATGTCATATTTGTTGGTATCAGAATAATTAAATTTTCCAAAGGAAAAATGTTAGCACAGAGAACTACTTTTTCATGGCAAAGGATTGGTTATTTTCAGATCTGAATTTTCCATAAATTTTAGGATATTTAGCTACTTTGAGTATATTCCATTTGCCACACACTGCTACATTTAAGGTACCTTCTTCATTTCCAGAGGAAAGAAGCTAAAAATTCTGTAGTTTATTCAAATATCCTGTAAAACAAATGAACAATATATTCCATAGTTTGAATTCTATACTGCATATGCCTCATTGCTCTGGAAGGCAGTCTTGTTCTACATGAGGTACCTATCAAGAGGCAATACTTTTTGGAACTAAAGCAGAATTTGATTGTGGACTTGTCCATTTATCCTAATCTCTTTAAGCACACATTTACTTTCCCTGTTATAGTATAAATTGCAGCTTCTGTAATTTTTAATCAGTTCTGATTCATAATTATTTAACATCCATTTAAATTCATATAATATGTTATAGACTATTACAGATAAAAAAGAAGCAGAACATTTCTAGACCTAAAACATTTCATGACAAAGAAGCTACACACAGCAAACCCTCACATTCATTGTCTTGTCCTCTGTAACATATGTACTACTTAAAGGAATACTTTTTCCTGAGATGCATTTTGGTACCCTCTCAAGATTATGGCTATAGGTTAAATTGCATAGCCTCCCATCATTCATTCTCCTCCTTAGGACATTCATAAACCAACCCTTCTCTAATATGTTGAAATGATTGGCACTCAGTGTCAGAGCAAAACAATGTTCATAAGAGTTTAAGCTATGCATCTCATCATCTTCATTGGTATTTAACTGAAGTTAACATTTAATAATACATAACTTACCAAAATCATAAAAGTACTTTCTGGAGGAATATGGGCATATTATGTCTACTAGTGTTTTTGAAACTGAACCTTGAGAATTCTGTGAAATATGTCTACATGATGGCAATAATTGCATTAAAGTGTAGACACTGACAATATAGAAGACTGGAAAATTCTGTGATATAATTGTTCTGATTATCTGAATTTATCTCATTTCTACATATTTTCAGGTGAAAATATACCTATTCTTTAAAATATTTATTCAAATGTAATTTTGATTCCTTTTCAGCTCATAAAGGACCCCGATGTCAAGATCAAACTCAAGGTCCAGGCCTTAATATATCCTGCCCTTCAAGCTCTTGATATGAATTTACCATCACATCAAGAAGGATTATATTTTCCATTTTTATCCCCCTCATTGATGGTCAGGCTTTGGAGTGAATATTTTACTACAGATCGAACCCTGGAGAAAGCCATGCTTCTCAACCAGCATGTACCTATGGAATCTAGCCATCTGTTCCAATTTGTGAACTGGAGTTCCTTGCTCCCTGAGAGATTTAAGAAAGGTTACTTTTATAAGAGTCCGACTCTTGGTAGTTCTGAGCTATCTAAAAAGTACCCAGGATTCCTAGATGTGAAAGCATGCCCTCTGTTGGCCAATGACAACACATTGAGTCTTTTACCTCTGACCTATATCATTACTTGTCAGTATGACGTCCTAAGAGATGATGGAGTCATGTATGCCACACGGCTTCAGAATGCTGGAGTTCATGTGACTCATCACCACATTGAGAATGGATTCCATGGAGCATTTACCCTTCATGGTTTTCTAATTGCATACAGGTTAAAAAACCAGTATTTCAATTGGCTTATGGAAAATCTATAGCAAACCCTACATAATGATTTGTTGAAGATATATATAACAAATAAGAAATAAACTGGTAAAAATGTGGTTTTGAGGTTTCATATACTTAAAACATCTCGTTCCTAAGGAGCTGTTAGCTTCTGTGTTTTGTTTCTGTTATTATTAGCCAATACCTTTCTATTTTATCCCTCATCCTGCATTTACCCACAGGCACACACCTCCATATCAGAGTTTTATGTGGGTACTGATGATCCAAATTCAAGTCCTCCTCCTTGTGAAGAAGGTACTTTACCAACTGAGGCATGTCTTCAGGCCCAAGTTCCTGCACTTTTACTATCTACTATTACTACATATATAAGAAAAGTGGGGCTTAAGAAGTAAAGTAATAACATATGTTCTAAATCTACATATCAAGTTTAAGAATGATTTTAAAGTACATGGCATGTCAACATCAATGACTTTACATTTAAGAAAATCAACTTCATTTTATACTTCATCATTAAAATTGAATTTGAACATATTTTCTCTTTGCTCTTGGCATATACTTTGAGCTATATTTCAAAAGAAAACACAAGTATAGCAAGAGATTTTGACAACCATTTAAACACCTGGGGGACATAAAGGACACAAATGGAATACTAGAAAATTGTTGTTAGTTGTTTTACTCTTTGCTCTTTGGGTAGCCCACCACCCAGCTCCCATTTGAATACATGGGAAGGCTTATTCTAACTTATTAATACCCAGGTATGTGTGTGAGGGTGTACATGTGTGTATGGCAGTGACCACCATGGCCAGATGCATTGGATGCTTTCAAGCTGGAGTTAAGGGCTGCTGTGAATTGTTGATGAAGGTGCTAGAAACCAAACTCAGGCTCTCTACAAACTCTCTAGGTTCCAGAATTTTGTTTTTTCATGTTAGCAATAATAGGATAAGTTCTCTCTGAGGAATAAAAACGAAAGATTATAATGATTCAAATGATTAGCTGGGGATGGAAATGCAAGTTATTTGAAACTATTAGAAACAGAACAATGGAAATGCTAGTAACTGGCCAACAGTTTCATAATAATAAGAAACAAACAGAACATCAATAATATTTCTAAAAATATCTTAGTTCAGACTATACATTCCATTAATGTGTGAGTCAAAGGATTGCCTCCACTGTGCAACTACAGAAGCACAGCTGTGCAATCTATTTGGAAATATTAGACAGATAGCAGTGAAGGTACAAAAATCACTATACTGATTTGTTGGGAATATTTATGAATGTTAACAGGGTTATGAACCAACCATATGAGAGACAACATTCAATATTTATCTTTTTATGTCTGTCTCATTTTGTTTCATGTAACAATTTTCAGCTCCATTCATATTTTTGCAAAATGCCAAAGTCTTAGTTATGTACACAAAAAGAAGTCTAGATTTAAATTCACATAAATGGTTATGTGTGTATGGGTACAAGGGTGTGTGTGCATGTAAGACATGAAAATGAAATGGGAAGAACTGGCAGGGGGAGGATAACAAGAGAGGGTAATGGAATCTATGTAACCTTAAAGCAAAAAACAAAAAGAAAAAAGAAAAAGGAGGAGGACGAGGAGGAGGAGAAGAAAAGGACTATTTGAGTTGAGGATATGAAAAATAGCAGATGAGAAAGAATGACAGACAAAATATGCTGATCCACTATATACAAAAGTAACAAAATGAAAGCCATGGCTTTATATCTTAACTTAAAGGTACCTTTAAAATGCATGAAGTGATGGCTTGGCACATGAGGATTGCTCACACCCTTGTCAATGAAAGTTCTGGTAAGTGTTGGTACATGTCAGGGTCCTTAGGGTTTGGACTCAGATTTAGATGCAGGACAAGGGAGGCTGAAACTCAAAACGGAACCGAAGTACAAACATATTATACTAAGTCAGAGTACACTAAATGACAAATGGGATGTATAAACTGAAAATATCCTAGAAGTCTTAACAATTTGGATAAACATCTGAGTGCTTTTCCCAAGATTCATGAAAAATATTTAATTGCAATAAAGGAACACAATAAGCCTGAAGCAAGATAATCAGGAGGGAAATGAAGGCACACTATAACCAAACTAAAGAAATACAAGGAGAAAGACAACGTATTACAAATTGCAAATGAAAGCTGTTATACTCAGAGGTAGAAAGCTTTACTAAGCAGCCAATTTTTTCCTTAGCAAACTTTTTTTTCCTCAGCAAAAGACAATGTGATGGCCAAAAGAGCAATTAAAGTGATGTGTTCAGAATACAGTACCAAGACTCTAAAGAAAACCAGAGGACAAACTAATAAAATCATGCTACCAAAAATCCCAGCAATATTTGTACTTAGAAAACAGTCCTTCTGAAATACAAAAGAGTTAAAATGTTCCCAGACACAGAAAACTAAACAGAACCAGGCAGTGCATATAAAAAATGCTAACAAGGTTTGTCAAGTCAAAAGTGTTAATCTTTGCAAAGAAGTAAATCTTGGTTTCATTGCTCCTTTGCATATTTTTATTTTCATTTCATTAATTTCAGCAGTGATTTTGATTGTCATTTTGCATTTAATTTGGGTGGTAAGATTTTTCTAAGCTCTTTTTTGGCGTATCATTAAGTTATTAATTTGAAATCTCTCATTTTTTTTTATGTAGGCACACAGTGTTATAACTTTTCATCCTACAAGTGCTTTTATTGTGTCCTGTAGATTTTGATATGTTGTACATCCAATTTAGGTTTTTATTGCCCTGGCCATATAAGCACCATGACCAAAAGGAACTTTGGGAGGAAGGTGTTTATTTTGTTTACTGATTACAAAGATCCATTATCAGAGAAAGTCAAGGCAGGAACTAACAACAAGAACCTGGAAGTAGTAACTAAAGAAAAACTGCTTACTAGTTTGCTTGATATTCCTCTCTTATTTGGCCTGCTTTCTTGTACACCCTAGGAGAACCTACTGAAGAATGTCACTGTCCACAGTAGGCTGGATTCTTCAATACCAGTCATCAATCAAGAAAATACACCATAGGCTTAACTAACTATATGCCAGTCTGAAGGAAACATTGGAAGCTCCTTCTCAGACTACTCTATCTTGTGTCAAGTTAACTAATATTAGCCAGGACACTGTGTTTTCATTTTTCTTTTACTTCTAGGAATGTTTTGATTTCCACTTGGTTTCTTCCTTCACAGAATTTCAGTTCAGTAGTATGCTGCTTTGTTTCCATAAACATATGTATCAAAAACTCTAAAAGCCCAGCTTCAAGGATTTTTGTTCCGGGTTCACAAAAAAGGAACTACGAATAAGCAATCTGTTTACATATTCAATGCAATCCGCATCAAAATCCCAGAACAATTCTTAACAGACCTTGAAAGAACAATACTCAACTTCATATGGAAAAACAAAAAACCCAGGATAGCAAAAGCAACCCTGTACAATAAAAGGACTTCCAGAGGCATCACCATCCCTGACTTCAAGCTCTATTATAGAGCTATAGTAATGAAAACAGCATGGTACTGGCACAAAAACAGACAGTGGACCAATGCAATCAAATTAAAGATCCTGATATTAATCCATACACCTATGAAAACATGATTTTTGACAAAGAAGCTAAAATTATGCAATGGGAAAAAAACAAGAAAGCATTTTCAACAAAAGGTGCTGGCATAACTGGATGTTGACATGTAGAAGATGACAGATAGATCCATATCTATTGCCATGCACGAAACTTAAGTGCAAATGGATTAACAACCTCAACATAAATTCAGTCACAATGAACCTCTTAGTAGAGAAAGTGGGAGGTACCCTTGAAGGACTTGGTACAGGAGACTGCTTTCTGAACATAATACCAGTACCACAGATACTGAGATCAACAATTAATAAATGAGGACCTCCTGAAACTGAGAAACCGCTGTAAGGCAAAGGACATAGTCAAAAGGACAAATGGTAGCCCACAGACTGGGTAAAGTTATTCTCCAACCCCACATCTGACAGAGGGCTGATCTCCAAAATATGCAAAGAACTCAAGAAGCTAGTTACCAAAACACCAAAAATCCAATTAAAAAGTGGGGTACAGAACTAAATAGAGAATTCTCAATAAAGGAATCTGAAATAGTCAAAAAGCACTTAAGAAATTGTTCAAAACATAGGAAAATGAGAAGGTGAGAAGAGGAGGGGCGAGGAGAATAAGAGGGATCAGGAAGACTGAGACAGTGGAGGAATAGAAAAGAGCAAGAAAAGAGAAAACTTAATAGAGGGAGCCAGTATAGGTTTAAAGAGAAATCTGGCAGTAGGGCAATGATCAGCGATCCACAAAGATGACACCAACTAAGAATCTAGGCAGTAGTGGAGAAGTTCCCTTAAATACCCTTCTCCTATAATGACATTGATGACTACCTTAATTGCCATCCTAGAGCACTCATCCAGTAGTTGATGGTATGGGAAACAGGCATCCACAGCTAAGCACTGAGCCAAGCTCCTAGAATCCAGTTGTAGACAGGGAAGAGAGATGAGCAAAGACCGTGCTGGAGAAACCTACAGAATCAGATGACCTAAACTAGTGAGAGCACAGACTCCAGTTGTAAAGCTGGGGAACCAGCACTGGACTGAACAAAACCATCTGAAGGTGGGTTCCAGTTAGGAGGCCTGGGCAGTCTATGGGACCTCATAACAGTGAAACCAGTATTTGTCCTAGTTCACTAATGGACTTCGGGAACCCATTCCCTATGGAGTGATATTATTTCAGTCCAGATACATGGAGGAGGTCCTAGAACCTCCCCCAAATGATGTGACAGACTTTGATAATTCCCCCATGGAAGACCTCGGGTTGGGGATTGGGTTGGGGTGGGTTGGGGGGGTTAGTAGGGAGGTATGGAAGGATTGAAGGGAGAGGAAATGGGGTGGTTGATATGTAAAATAATTGTTTCTAAATTAAAAAAAAAGAAAGAAAAGAAAAAGAAATTGCTCAACATCCTTAGTTATCAAGGAAATACAAATCAAACCAACTCTGAGATACCATCTCACTCCTGTCAAAATGGCTAGAATAGAAAACATCAA